ACTTTCTAGAATAATGATGTTTGATACCCAGACTTTCCATCCTTCACATTTTAGGAATTAATTCTTAAACAGTTCCGTCTGTTAGCTGGGGTAACTTTTTCCCTGCTATTCTTTTTCTATTCCAATATAGATCTGGCCTGTTGCAATAACAGGTTTTGCTTCTGGTTTTGCATCTCTTAATCTAATGACTCTGAGAATATAGTTGGTACTTCAGCTGGGGCCAGACGGGGCAGTGAGGCGTGCACATTTAGCCGCCTTTGGCCGCCCCCCTGCCGCTCCTGTTGGTGAATGCCAGGGCATTAGTCACTTCATTTCTTCTTTGTTGCCCGCCTCCCTTTTGTGTTGCCCTTGAAGGACGTTGCAAGCAAAGCCATGGCTACAGCCTTCTCTTTACATCTTGATACAGCTTATTCAGGGGACTTTATGAGAAATCAGTGGCTTGGGACGGGCTTCCCCCCCCCTTTTTTTTTCAAGATCCAGATTCGGGATATTTTTCCGTCTCATTGATTACATTTTAAGCAGCTCACCTCATACTAAGAATGACTGTTTTTTTATCACTGCACATTGTATGTCATTTAATCAATTAAATGGAGACTACTACCAGGTAAACACTAGCATGCTGCCGCTTAGATAGTAACCGGTTCCCTTGTGCATGAGCAGGTATACCGCATCCTGATATGCACTACACTTGTCTTTGTACGTGGCAATACCCCAGGCCATACTGAATTCAAATTGACATGAACATTTTCGTTTTCTAAAGGACAAAAGTGATGACTCACCTCAAAAATACACTTGTTTGATTTCCCATGTGAACATAGTACACAGTGACACCCATAGCTTTCACCATTCAGAGACTCACTCACTCAGCCTCTCACTGTGCTCCGCATTTCAGAGTAATTTTCACTCCTGACACCACGGCTCTGCCTACCTGCCAATTTCTGTCTCGGTTCCTGAATGGGCGATTTGTAAAGCCATGTTCACCTCAACACTCAGAAGATTTACTCAAGAGTGAGCTTGCCAGGTGTTTGAGCTGTCAGTTCGCTCTGTGTTCGCAAACTTGCCGAAGGGAAGCCATACTTGCTATTGTGATAGTGGAACACATAGTTACTATTGAATTGTAACTTGCAACAACAGAAGGTGGTATTATTTAATGAAGGCACATTATATTTTGTTGAAAGTTGGTTTCCTGCACTACTTGTTTTTCTGAATATCATCACTTGCATAAGCTGAAAAAAACTTCTCTTTTGATGATTAAATTACTGACGTCACATGACACGCTGATTAGATCTTAACATATACCTCTTTAATACCTGCACACATGCTGTTGTCTACTGTTTTCTATTTGGCTACACATCCTCCAGCTTTTTCTTTTCCTGCTTATGCTCCCTCCTTCCTTTCACCATGGTTTATAAACAAGCTGTAGTTGTTTTCGGGGCTCGAGGTCGTTGATTTGTCTGCCTCTCCCTGTAGGTCACTGAGGTCACCATGGCCCCGGAAGCATCAAGCTTCGAAAATGAGAAGCCCCGCTCGGCTCTCCCGCTGGCGACCGGGAGCACCCCTTGCCCGCGCCCGCCCCGATGATTAATGCCACCCCCGTCCAGCCACAAACCTTTCTGCCTCAGATAATGCCAGGCAGCAAGCGCGACTGACACTTTTAATGTATAATTAAGTAGAAAAAGTCAGCACTGGCTATGCAAATTTTTTAAAATGATAAATGACGCTCTACAGCAGCAGGGATTGATTTGGTGTAAATGAAACTAATTAAGGAAATGTCAAACATAATTAATAAAACAGGTTTAAGCTGCAAAACATTGTCAATTGAATGAATGAGGAGGCATTGGCTCCCATTGTTCAGGCTTTATTTAGGTCTTGTGTTTAGCTTGTTCCCTGCTCCAGAATGCTCTCTCCCCTCCTCACTCCCTCCACCACCAATTCCCTGAGAGGGGGAAAATAAATTTGCTTGTCTCTGCGCTGACTGTAGAAATTAATTGCTGAAATCTTGTCCCATCCAAGTGTTACATTCACACGCAGGACATTAACATAACTAATTTGAAAGAGCTCAAATGACTGCATAATGGAGCTCCGTCACCATGCATGACAGTCGCTGGTCATACCAAATTAGCTTGCTTTTATAATTGAAAATTTTCCCCCCCTTTCTAATTTTTACACATTTCCCCCCTTTTTTCTTCATCTTTCTCTTCTTCCTGCCTCCTATTCCTTCCATGGTATCTTTCCTTTCCGTTCTGTTTTCTTGATAAGAACAAAGGTTTTATAATTCACAAAAAGAGTGCTTGACCTATAATTAGAGGAGTGAGGGGAGAGGAGGGGGAGTGCCAAGTGGTGGTGGCAGAGTTAGATCCTTAGTCCTGGTAATGATGCTGGAGACCTTGTGGCCCCTGGGGAGGCAGAAGAATGATGGGATGGGCTATTTTTACGGGGGAGCAAAGCAATGGGCCACCAGCCGCTGGGATGCTGGTGACTGGGTATGGTGCAGAGCAGCAGGGGCTAGCAGGGGGCTAGCGGGGGGCAAAGGAGGGTGAACACTCAACCTGCCACACTGCCAGCTTTCAGCCCTGCCCATCAGTTCAGTACGTCAGCCTGATGCACCACTGTCGGCCTCTCTGCCCTTGTCGCAGAGAGAGAGAGAGAGAGAGAGAGAGAGAGAGAGAGAGAGAGAGAGAACTGGGTAGGTCGGTGGATGAGTGGGTTGAAAGGGGGTAGAAACATCTGCCACTCTGAGAATAACAGTGGACTCAAAGATACAAAGTGAGGGGGGTATCACGGTAAAGTGATGCATCTGGATACTTGGATGAATGCAAATTAATGGGTACATATATATCCTACAACAATCTGAAGCAAATAATACTTGCTAAGATTCTTAGCTCTTTTTTTTTTTTACACCTGATTGGATAAAACGGCCAAACAAACCAAATACTTAACTTTAACCATCAACAGTAAACTTTGCAGTAGTCAATTTGAATTTTATGTTTCACCCATTTAGCACGTTTGTCATGTAAAACAAAACAAAAATCTGAAGCTATAAATGCTATTTATTACTGTGCACTGTGACCCAAGTCTGCATGGTGCTAACTAAGATATCGTTAATAATGTGCTTGTGTGCAGTGTATTGCAGCAGACCTACGGCTGCCAATATTTTTGTCTTTTGGTTCTACACACTAAGCACCACTATTTATCATACTTCCACATAACAATTCTCAAGAGCTAAAGTAGCAGAAGAAAACAAAAACAAAGTACAAGAACAAAAGAAAACAAAACAAGAAAATACAACTCTGGAACAGTGACAGTCTTTATCCCCATTGCATTTTCATTCTCATCTTTATTTCATTATTCCAGTGAGAATTGTTATGCTTGTAAAAGTAATCGTAAATCCTGGACTCCTGCACAGTTTCTGCATTCTTTATGCATGACCGTAACAGCTCTCCAGCAACCATAGCCCCACAGTCAGCCTACGCAGATTTCTTTTCAGCAATACCATATGCTGCGCTTATGTATTTCAGGATTTCTGTGTTCCAAAGCATGGTACTTTAATGGATAGCGGTGTTTTTTTCCTGTGCCCAAGCTGGAGCTGAAGTTACAGTTTCTTGTATGTATTGCGTGGTCTTGCTCCGTAGTAAAGAAAGTCAAAGCTGACCACTACATACTCTATATTCAGTAGTTCATGCATGCTTTGTTACAACACGCTGAGACATACTTGTGTTACACTTCTGCCAGGTTTTAAAACACTTTAAATCTCATCAGTAAGTACCTCATCAAAGCACACACACACACACACACACACACACACACACGCACATTATTATTATCATAATCATAAGATTATTAGCAGCAATATCCTGGTTTTAATTGTACACTGTTTCCCAAAGTTAGAATGTATAGCATTTTCACACTAGGAACCTTAGTTAAACTAAATAAATATAACTAATATAAATACAAGGAATTACTTTATGAGTCTGAATTTACAATAATTGCGTTCGTGTTCCTGTGATAATATCTAGTGTAAGTACCTCGAAACATGCTGTACTTCTCATAAAAATCAGTGACCTGTTTTGCACATTTTCCCGAAAGTTTCCAAGTGGTAGTTCACCTTTCATGTAATTTCCCTTCACACATTTTGTTACAACTCTTTCGTACAACCCAACCCTTAAAATGCCAAGGGTCACAAGTCAAACATATGCAGCACGGATTACAATTTATTACCCCACATTTGCTTGATAATTTTTCTCTTTTGACAAGCTTAGGTAAATCATATAGCCTACTCTATAATGTATGAGGACTCGGCTGGCTTGATGAGTAAAGTCGGTGGCTATTGGCTGTTACCCCTGTGGTGTTTGAGTTCCCATAAGACCAATAAGGCATGTCTGTGTTCCAACATGACTGGAATCACTGCAGGAACAGGTAGAGGTCCAGGTATTTATAGAAACCATATGCAAATGGTTCAGTGCCATGTTGGATTGTTAGAGCAGAGAGGTGACAGTTAAAACCATGTACATAGAAGGAGAAATATATCGGCTTCTTTGAGACAAGTCTAATCAGTTAGGATAGCCTCCTCTCCTCATTTCATTTGAATATATTCAGCTTGGAGTCAGACTTAGGACGTGTCTCTACCCTCCCATGTATAGTATTCCTTCCCGCTGAAGGCTCATTATTTTACAGCAGGGTGTGTGAGAGGTTGCCCCAGTCTCTGAACTCTCTGTCGACGCTGTATTAATCAAACTTCACTCAGCGGGGAAGGGTCCACCCACTGACATGGCACTGCTCACTCTACACTCGAGGACAAAAGGGAGAACACACAAACTAAGCTGTTACTGTGAAACATCTACAGCTTTTGAAGAATACCACTTTGAGATTTTTCACAACAATAACTCCCAGAACCTTTCAAAGTTTGTCTCAGAGATGCTTAGGAAGTATTATACAACATTGTTTATCCATTTCAGTCAACGAGTCTTATGTTAAGATTGTCCTCTTTCTTTTCTCAACAGTGGACAACAAAGTCTTTGCATGGGGAAATGGCACCAGTGGACAGTAAGTGAATTTCAGAAGTAAAAGGATACATATAAACATGTGAGCAGTGCTTATTCTACCAAGTCTTGGTATTACTGTAGTGTTCAGACTTTCATTGTCCTTGTTTTACTATAGGGGGCCACTCGGGTGTCCATAAAAGTTCTCAAAAGTTCTCATTGGTCAGTTTTATTCTGTCCAAAGGTCCTTCAGTCTTATAATATACTGTTCATCTGTATAATAATCTGCAGAAAGACACTCTGGCAGACAAACAAACATACAGACATACTTATAAACAAAGATAAGTTATTTTCCTCCTGATGAGCTTCCTTGTTAAAACTTCTCCAGCCAGAAACCAGTCTGGCTGTAATGACATCTAAGGGCCTGGGGGCTGCAGTGATTCAGTGGCCCTCAAGTACTCAAACAGCAGCACTGCAGACCTCAGAGAAATACATAAAAGAAACAGAGGCATCACTTCTCACTCTCTCATCATCTCCCATTGTCCCTTATTCTCCCTCTCTTGCTCTCCATCTCTCTGTCTGTCTCGCTCTGTCTCTTCTCTCGTGATGCTTTGACCCCACTAAGCAGGTCGAGGCTCTCTAGTGGGGAGCTTATAGTTGGAGGAGCCTATAGTTGGAGCTCCATAACACCCACTTGCAGAGCAAAGGGTGAGCATCTCTGTTACACAACAGGCACTCTGATATCTGAAAACTCCTCGGCTCTGCAGTGTGTCTCACTGGAGGCGAGAGAGGAGAAGAGTAAGAGGGAGCGGTGTAAATTTAAACTGGCAAACTTTCTGATGGAAATAGCAGTGACCCCAGAGTGGGCTTGTCTTGAGTTGAAGTATTGTTGTAATCAATACAGGCTCTCGTGGGGATGACGGGCGAGGACCTTTCGTTCCCCGTTTGTGGAAATAATGGAGAAGACTGTTTGTTATTTTTCCCAGACATGCCGCAAACTAGCAGATATGGCCGGGGCATTGCAGGTTATGACGCTGGCTCAGGGAAACAAATACAAAGAAGGGCATTTTATCAAGAAGCAAACAGCAGAGCTCTGTTTGAAGCTGCTGGGAGCTCGCAGGTCACAGGGGTGCTGGGGCTGCGTTTGACCAGCTCATCTTAAAAAGGGGTCTTGGATGTTCTTTGTTCACGCGCGCAAGGGACATGGAGACAGAAACACAACTCTCAGCCATGGCCTATGTAAAGTCATTTGTTCAGCTACTGGAGTTAGGTTGAGTTATTATTTCTTCCCTAGGAAGGTAGAACTGACCTTACTGAAATATGCCTGTTAGACTCACTCTATATAGGAGTCTTGTCTGCGTAACACATCAGAAGACTGCACCACAGTATTGCTGCAGCACCATTTACTAAATAATGATATCTACCAAGATCTCATCTCATATTGTTCTTGCATTAAAATTACTTTTTACTTGTTTGTTAATAAATTTGATGCTTCATTTCTGTGTATTACACAAGCTTCATGTGTTAAACAAAGATGTTCACGACTGATTGTGTTAGTTTTTTATTAGTTTGCTTTGAATTATTGATTTAAAAACATTTTGTCAAATGGTATCACTTTCATGACATGATTCCACTGAGAATGGATAGAAAATATTTTACCTGGTGCTATAACTTGCCAACAAGAATTTTTTCTGTAACACTCCCCCAAAACCTTATTATGTCCTTTACATTAAAAAGCAAAAAATGTCAAACTGTATTTTCTGTCTGCTTTTGTTAGGCTGGGTGACGGAGAGAGGGCAGTGAAGGACCAGCCAGTCGAGGTTAAGTTGCAGCAGGAACTGCACGTTAAAGGAAGCGACGCAGTTGTGGATGTCGTCAACATAGCCGGTGTTGCCTGTGGAAGCAGACACTCCTTCATATGGACGGAAACTGGGCAGGTCTACAGTTTTGGGAACAACTTTTACGCCCAGCTAGGTTATGATGTCCAGAGGCTTGACTTCAAAGACCACCAGGTAAGACGATAATGGTTTATTCACGGTGATGACCAAATCAAAACATGATTAATATTGGTACCTTCTGAATATCTAAAAAAAAACCTTGAATTAGTCTTTACACACTTTGCACACAAATGTGCACTCATCACATTAAAACTGATGTGATTTTCTAATGTCCCCTTAAAACATCTACATAATCTCTACAGTATAATATCATTAGATTAGTTTTTAATTCATTGTTTAGGGTGTGTGAGTTTGTTGTGTGTAGATATACAGTATGTATGTGTGTGTGTGAGAGAGAGAGAGAGAGAGAGAGAGAGGCAGCCCTGTGTGATGGATACCTCAAGACCCTGGATGGCTGTTTGCTGGTTGTCTCTCTATCTCTGTCCTTAGATGGCTTACCATACAGTAGCATGCTGCTGAACCATACAAATCCTAAATTAAGTGCTGTGGAATTGAAATTGGCTCTCTTGTGAAGTGTTCCACTTGCATTGGAGCTTAATTTTGCCTACTCATATCATTTGATTCAGTCCCTCAGTCCCTCTTTTGCTCGCTGCAGCCCATCACTCCCTTTTCCTTCTCATGCAAAATAAGCCCATTTAATGTGACAGTGTCTAGGTGAATGATTGCCACTCAACACTTGATATATGGGCATGTGCTTCTATGCGCATGTGTACTGGATATATTATATTTCCGACAGATTTTCCCAGACGCTTGCAGTGACATTAGTGCATTGTTATATATTACGTCTTTCAGTTTTTTACACCCACGTATTGTAATGGATGGATGGATAAAAAAGAAAAGAAGAGGCGCTGTGGCAGAGTAAGATTATTTCAGTCCACTCCCTCTCACTTGGTCCAAATATTGTTACCTGTTTTCATCACTTTCGATGTGTCCTGTGCTGATGTCAGCATGGGGACGGCTACATTCAAAGTCTTCTGAAATAGCTTCACACTGCTCAGTCAGTCAGTGATATTTGATTTGTTGTTTCCTATGGATTACATGTCCTCAAAATCTCAACTTCCAAGACAATTTACTTTAACAGCAGTTTTATCACCCATAATGTTTGCCTTACGACCACCGTAAAAGTGTTTTATATATTCAAGATGCTTGTTACGCTATCTGTTGTACCTCTGGCCTTGTTCCAGCGGTAACATAAGACAAATTCCCAGAAGAGAGGCCCAAGGTGAGCGTGGGGAGTTGGAAAGTACTCAGCCACCTGGCAGCAGTATGGAGTCCCAGAGGCCAAACCTCTCACCTCTCCTCTCTGATAAAAGCCAATGGGATCTGCATGACTGCACCCAGCCATCACCTCTTTCTGCTAAGGCAAAGGATAAGGAAGGGGGGGACATGCAGCAGCAGTGGCAGAGAATAGGACCTGGTGGTATGTGTGTCACCCTTTACTCTCATTCTAGCCACAACAGTGGCCTCTGATTGCCCCAGGTGGAGGCCCAAACCTGGCCCTCTCACTTAAATACCACCAGCCTCCATCTTCTTTCATCGCCGTTGCCTCCCTGTGTTCGCTTTTTTTTTTTCAGTATAAATCCAGAAAAGCCGCTCCACCTCCAGCTATCCCTCAGACTCAGTACTATACAATACTGCTGGCTATTGTTATAAAGAATCTTTAGGTTGGAACTGGCGGCTTCACCCCTAAGGCTCCGTTTCTCTTTACAGTCTGAAATGGAGTGGTTGGAGACTGCTGAGATCTGAGAAACACTATAGTCTGTTCTTTATTGGCCCAGTGATAAGGTGTTGGGATTCTGCTCACACCTGTGAGCCCATTGTTCAGGCCCACTTTCCCTTTTCAGCTGAAACAGACAAGACTAGACAGAGCTCCTATTTAAAGGTTTGATTGACATTATTTGAATGACACACCGTGGGGAACTATATGTCTGTGAACGGAAATTAAAGTTAAGCTTATTTTTTTCCCCTCTCATGTCTCTGCCCCCTCTCTCTCCCCTCATTAGGACAATGACATTATCGTTTTCTCAGGGTTTTGGGGGGGATGTGTTTGTATGCAGATAGGACAGTCCCTCTTCAGTTCTCCATATCCTGATAAACAATTTGATAGGAATTAGCAGTCACTGGCTATGTTAGCTGTGGTAGTATCAAGCCAGTACGCTATACCATAAGTCTGTTTGTTTTTGTGTGTATGATTCTTTGTCTCTAAGTAGGTTAACACCTCCTAGCTGTAAATATACCACCCATTGTCTGTTTATTTCTACAAAACTAGGCAAAAAGCGACCACCGTGGGAGCATAACAAAATTAACTCTGTTCCTAAGTGTGACACGTGTGCAGCTTGAGTTTGGCACGGCATCCATGTTCAGCCTGGCTGAGCACAACTTGTTTGAATGTCATATTTATCCCTGTGTTTTGTCAGAAAATTAACTTCATGTGAGTTTGCGGCAGAGCCGAGCATATGGCCACAGCTCTCTAGAGATGACAGCCTAGCGGAGCGGGAGCTCGCCGGTGCCGCTGCCCTGCTCTGGCGGCAGATGCTCCGGGCTTCTCCGCGATTAAGTGGAGATCATCACTGTTTTCTTTGAGCACCGCTGTGCCTTGTACTCTGAAGTGTTCCGTTAATCACTGCCTGCCTCCCTGCCTTTTCCACGCAAGCTGCCAAAGCACTCATTAAGTTTGAATCTCCCTCTCACCCCTCGCGTGCTCACCAGCTCGATACATTGCGTTGCTGAATCTTAGCAGGCACCCTTTCTGCAGGAACACCATGGCTTGTTGTACCTGTTTGCTAGAGGGATCATAAAAGCCACACTGCTTTACGCACGCTTGTTTTCTGACCCTCTTCTGCTGTTGAACATTTACTTCTAAGGCATTGTGTTGATACTGTAAAATAAGTCTTGCTCTTTGTGCCACTGAATGTGTTCTCTCGTCTGTGTATGCTGATGTAGTCTGTATTTGCACTAAGATGCTGCATTGTTTCCAGTACAGACCTCTGAGGGGAGTGAAGCTTTTTCTAGGCATGTATTTCCTTTTTCCAACAGTGCCTCTTCCCTCTGCAGATTATTTGGAAACAGCTCGTCACTTTTACGGTTGTTAAACAGCACTATGTTATTGTCTATGTGTGTGCCAGTGTATTGAGTTTATGGAATCAGAATGCAGGTATAATGTAAAACACAAATCTGGTCAAAGAGAAACAAAAAAAACGTAGAAATCGAGTCTCTGTTAGCCCCCCCCCCATCTCCTGTACATCTCCTGTACATCTCCTACACAAGCAACCATCCATTGTTGTTGTTAAACATTGTGACACGCTTTAACCCTGATTGATCTTGATCTCCGACACAAATAATAATGTGATTACGGGCTTTTCTCAGCTTCTCTCTTCACAGCGGTGGAAAATAACATTAGATATTTCTTTTCATGTTAATCGCCTTGGTTGGAAGTATACCTCAGTGCACCAATAGGCCTCAGTAATGCCTCTTTTCTTCTAAAAAAGCCCCATCCAAAATAACCTATTTGCAGCACACCCACACGCACATTGCTTAGCTCTGTAACACCGTTATTCTGCACCCATCAAAGCCTAGCTTGCTTGTCCTGGTGCAGCTATCATTCCCCCACAACAGCGGGATGGCATTACCGTGCTTTTGAAAGCATTTGCATGGCAAAGCAATTGCATGCACCTTGTAAATAAAGGAAATGATCCTGTTCATCGCAGGTTGGATTTCCTGGATAAAGCTGTGGGAAGTAGATCCCTGCGCCATCATATCGATACACAGACCCTGTTTCCTCAGCGTAAAGTTTACTTTGCAATAATTGTCTGCTTCTTAATCTTGTCTGTCAGGCTGTGAGGCAGACACACAAAAACGTATGTGGCTCTCTCTGCAGCATTGGTTACTTGGCAGACACGCTGATTAGTGCCAGTTTGCCTCTTTTCAATATGTAGATAGTGAGATAGAAAGCTGGCCCTATTCATTGAGTGCAAGTACCAAAATAGCAATTGCTGTTCTCAATCAACTATGAAGAAATTGGTTTGCATTGTTGGAAGAGGTTGATTAGTGACTTTTTGAAGAGGCTCTTGAAATTACTTTCAAATCAGGCCGAGTTGACGGACAGCTGGTTCTATATTGTTTTACAGTGAAAGGTCAGCAAAAAATAATAATTTTATTTTTTGTCATAGTGCTGTATGAATGCCGTGCATTTGTACCTTCTGGGCCCGCATAATGTTAATCAATACAATAAACATTTATCTCATCTAGTCAGAATCGAATCTATTCAGAACCGTACAAATTGCCGCTGTGCTCTTTACAGGGTACAACTAATTTTTCGACAAAATAATTCCTTGTCAGGAGCAGCCAAGGGAGAAGGTGTCAGTTTGATACCACGAGTACACTAACGGCTGTGCGGGAGCATAAGTGTTCGCTGCGCTTCGGTGACGGTGCGTTTGATTTCGACACTGACCACCGGTGATGCCAACCCTGTAGTCCTCATCTGAGCTGCCTCTTGAGACGCGGACGTAGACGTCCCCCCCCCCCCACCATCTCACTTCAGACTGATTCTGCTAAAAGAGAGAGAGGCTGAGAGAGAGGAAGAAAGTAAGTGAGCGGCTGCCAGACAATAAAGTCGCTGTATAGTGTATACAATTGTCTATAGTTACACCATATACACCACAGTTACAAGCTATGCAGTATGTGGGAACTCAGTGTGGGTGTACAGCGACCTAAACTACTAAACCCATCTCCCCTAGGGGCACCTCAAAGGACGCTTGTTCCCTTCCTACTCTGAGGCCCTGGGCTCTGCTGAAAGAAATGAGAGGCAAAGCAAGTGAGAAACAGGGAAGCGAGGCAACAAAGGAAGGTAGTCTCAGCTGGGTAGTAAGACTAACCTGTGTCTCTGGAGATCATGCGTCTTTTCAAAAGTACCAAGACAGACCCATCTCTCTGACTGCTCACTCCTGCCTCTGGCTTGTTTAGGGTCACAGTGTTGAAGTAGTTCAGTAGGATGACTTTTGCTGCACTCTGGAACTCACTATATACGCCTGCACTTGAAATATGCATTGTTTTCT